GGAAGATCTATGACTTTCCTCACAGCCCTCCTCCACTGAGGAGGTGATGTCCAGGGAGCCGCTTCTCATTTCTAACCTAAACGTCAATGCCAGCAAGTTGGATGGAGAGAGAGAGCAGGCTTCCTTCTAGCCTTCCCAGATGTCCTTCTTCCCTTCAGCCATTTTCATGTTTCCCTCTTTGGAAGGCTGACTAGAGGGGAAGGAACTTGTTTTACTGCTGGGGAAACTCAAGTCTATAAAATGTGGCTTCTGGCTCTTAAAATCTGTGCCAATCAATGTCAGAAAAAAAATGCCACTGACATGTGGGGCAGTTTAAAAACTTTGGCTACGGACCTCTGTGCCAGCACTTGTCACTCAGCTCCAAGAGTAGACAGGAGGCCTCAGCATACATAGCACAGAACATCAGAGCCTGAATGGGCCTTTAGCCCACCTATGGATTCCAACCTCCGTGTTGGGGATCATCTGGCTATAGCTTGTGAGTGGACAGTAAGTGTCTTACACTAGGAAAATGCCCGTCACTGGGAAAGATAGCTAGGCTATGTCTCCTCAGTCAAGGTCAAGATTCTCTGCATGGCCTTCGAGGCTATCCATCTTGCCTCGCATTTCGCCACTCTGACTCACACTGTGCTCCAACAATACTGAACCACTCGCAGGTCCCCACGCTCTTGCCGCGGTGCCTTCGTGCAGGCTGGCCTTGATTGGAATGTCCTGTTTCCCCCTCCACCTATGTATATTTGAGTAACTTCTACCTACCAATGACGATTCTGCTCAGTTATCACTGCCTTCAGAAGCCTGACTTTGGCCAGGATTGTGAAGGCGGTAGCCTCCAAAACCAAGCAGACCTAGTGTCAAATCTTTGTTCATTTTCAAGTCACATTATCTCCTTAAACTTCAGCTTTCTCATCTACAAAATAGGGGCGATAACACCAAACTCGTGTAAGAAGAAGACGTAAAGTGCTCAGTAGAGTAGCTGGGACATAGCAGACACTCAAACTCCATAGCCATTCTCACAGTTAACTGATTTCTCCACTCTGCCCTCCCATCCTAGACTGGCATTGTGCCTCTCCCTACCACCATCCTTTTACCTGCGTGCTAGCCTTTAATCTACTTTATTGAAGAGTACATACAATACATGTACCCATTTTAAATACATGGTTTGATGAGTTTTGACAAATGTACAACCTATACGTACGTGTGTCTATGGAACATTTCTATCGCTCCTAAAGGTTTCCTTGAGCCACTTCCCCGTTAATCTTCACACCCTTTGCCCAGGGCCAAGGCAACCACTGATCTCTTGCTATTGCTAGAGATTACACTGTCTTTCCTAGAGCTTCATATAAATGGAATCGTACAGTATATTCTCCTTTGTGCTTCATTCACTCAACATAATGGTGTGAGATCCTTACTGCTATGCTTTTAACTGTATTAAAATGTATCTGATTCCTCCACTAGACTGTGAGGCCCTCAAAGATTCTATCTTTTTCCTTTTTGGCTCCTAAGTAGGCACTCCGTAATGTCAGAGGGAAGAATGGAGGGAGGAGATGAGGGAGTCACAGCGAGGACGAGCTCAGGTCATGGCTGCGACCTTGCTTCTTGTCCACCCCTGGAGGCAGTACTCACGGCCCCAGCTGAAACCTATCTTCCAGCACTTACAGCAGCCAGTCTACAGCCACCAGCAGGCTGATGTCCTCCGTTGGCAGGCCCACAGCTGTCAGAATGAGGAGCATGGTGACCAGCCCAGCACTGGGGATGCTGGCTGCGCCGACGCTCGCCAGTGTGGCCGTGAGGCTGTGAGAACAGAGAAAGCCAGGTCATGGGAAGAGAAAGAAGCCTTGGCAAAACCGTCTCTGGCAATTGTAAGCTCGAATTTTCTCAGCAATCACACAAAATTCTTTTTCCTTCCTAAGAAATAGAGAAATCTATAGTACCAAGATTTAGAATTAGGGCCTATTTGGATTCTGCTTAACTGTAATAGAGGCTTATAATTTCATGAACTGGAACTTTATCCTCCTCATGATATCCAATTAGCCTAAAATATCACAGTGCTCAAATAAGGTGAGCGTGGCTCTAAAACAAGGTAAGGAAATATTAGAGAAGAAAAACAAATCGCCCTTAATCCTCCCATGGGAATACCACCACATTCACTTCTGCTTATGCCTTTAAGTCTCTGCACCAGAAACTTTTGGACTACATGGCAAGAGTCTGGGAAGACCACTGCCAACGTGAACATGAGAACTCAGAATAGCAAATATCCAGACCCAACCGAGTGGACATCGGGGGAGCAAATCAACAGATTCCAAATGACATTAAGCTTCAGACACCTGGGCATTTCATTATGAATTGGAAAATCCATTCTTCAGAAAGAGGATGCCAAGAAATGATAATGAAACAACGGGAGGTTTTCTTTTTGAAGCATCTCATCGTTTGCAACGCCAAGGGCGCACCCAATATCATTTTGAGGTTGTCTCTGGAAAAGAGTTTAATCCAGGGTTCACGCTCCCTCTCGAGACACCAGGGGCCTCTGTGGTCCAGCAAAGGGCAATGACTTTTTCTCCTCCATTCTAGATGCCATTTATGAAAGCTGTCACGTCTAAATAGAAGAATGCTTCTGAAAGTACAGATTCCCAACTTGCTTTTTTAGTCGCTGAAAAGAAAAGGGGAGCGGATTTCTTGGCAATAATAAAATTCTAGGGTTTCTAGAGGAGGCCCCTCAGCTCCAGACTAAATCCTAAACTGGTTTAACCAAGTCCAGACCATCATTGTGACCAAGCACAGAATCCTGGGTGTGGGAGGGACCTAAATTTATCTGATCTCAGATAAGGAAAGGAAGCCCCTAGGAGTTTTGCAGTTTGTATTGTTTTTCCCATATTGCTGTCATTCCATACTTGGCCTGTTACAGTAAAGACACTTTCTCTAGGCGGGACCTACGGAACCCATCTGTGCTGTTCCCCTGCTAATACGGAGCTAGTGCTGGGTTTAGAGAACTCCATTTCCTTTGGACCCATCTGGGTCATAGGAGGTAGCAGTGTGCTGTGATTATCATTGGTGGTTCTAGAATTGAAGGAACTGGGTTCAAATCCCAGCTCTGCAGCTTATTAACCACACAACCTTAGGCAACTTACTTAACCTCTTTGTGTTTTGATTTCCTTATCTGTAAAAAAAAAAAAAAAAGACATGCTAATAATGATGTCTTACTCACAGGCTCCTCAGGAACCAATAAATAAAAAGCACTTAGAAGAGGCCAGGCACACTGTAATCATCTAATGAATGTGAATTATTATTCTTATTGGGGAAATCTCCACAGGGCGAGGCTACTTTGCAATGAAAACTTCCCTAAAGCCCCAAGAGCTGAAAGGTGGGAATTCTCAGCCATTTTCCTGACAGGGATGGAGCACCAGGAAAGGGGAATTTCTCAAGTTCCAAGGACCTTGGTTTCAACCGTTTTATTTACAACATCGGTTGCTTCTGTTATGAGTCACTCTTACACATCCCTTGCACTGTGGCCTCATTGTCTGGTTACCTCTTGGTTGTGTGTGACAAACCCTATAAAAAAAATGCTTCCTGGCAGTTGGTCCCCTCTCTGTTCCTCCACCCAATCGTGCCCTCACGAGCGGAGTGTCTGTGCAATTCTAAGTCCTGCAGTAGCTCTCTAGGCAGCCATCTTCCTCCAATCCCTTTACCCCTTTCTGTTTTTCCTGTCCTTCCCCTCCCTGGCTCACGTCTCTAGGGCTGGATCTTGGATGCTGTGCAAGGCACTGCACACACAGCAGAGCCTCATGGCAGCCCTGCACAGTCCATATGGTAGGACCTGTTTCCACACAAGGAAACCATGGATCAGATGGGTGGAGAAAGGTAGGATCACAAAGCCTGAACATGGTCTGCTGGGATGTGAACACTTGTCTGCTTGATTCTAATGCCCTGCTGGTTCCCGGTGTCCCTTGATCCCTCCTCACAGTAAAAACTCAATGAATTAATGAATCTCAATCACTTGGTTACTGGTCCATTCTCCTATGTCTAAGTTCTCATCTAATGGCGTGAACTTGATGGGAAGTGCAGTTGCATTCAGGGACCAGAAATCACCTTTGCTTGGCTTCAGAAGAAGGGGCTTCATTAAGGAGAACTTTTCATCTCTGAGTTTTAAAGCAAGGGAGGTTGGCAGTCTGACATGCATTCTGTTAAGACATGATTTGGAAGGCTTTGTACTTTGATCTGAAACATGTTTCCCCTCATTATGTCACTGTTACATTTTTCATTCATATTTAAGAGCATTGTATTTTATTGAGCATGATAACAGTAGTAATACTAGTAGCTAACATTTATTGGCAGGTGACTGTATAGCAGGCACAATGCTCTCAGTCCTCCTAGAATTGTGATTATTGTCCCCATTATACAGATAAGGAAACTGAGGCTCCCCTATAGCACTGTAATGGGCTGAGTTGTGTCTCCTCCAAATTTATTTGTTGAAACCCTACTCTCTATGGTCTTTAGGAGGTAATTAGGTCAGGAGAGTAGAGCTCTCAAGATGAAATTAGTGCCCTTGTAAGAAGAGACATAAGAGAATTGGCTATTTCTCTTCACACACCAAGGAAGGGGCATGTGAGCAAACAGGTATAAAGAGGTCCATATGCAAGCCAGGAAGAGGGCATTTATCAAGAGATGAATCTGCCAGCAACTTGATCTTGAACTTCTCAGCCTCCAGAACTGTGAGAAATAAATGTGTGCTGTTTGAGCCATCCAGTCTATGCTATTTTGTTATAGCAGCCTGAGGTGACAAAGGCAATTACATAACTTATAGGGTGGTTGTGAGAATTAGATAAATTAATGTATGCAAGTAGGTGTGATCTTAAAATTTATGGAAAAGCAATGTGTTTTTAATGACCTCTTGGGAAAGCGTTCTTTCTGAATTTTTTAAACAATGAATACATATGTTAAAAATAGCTTTAGTAAAAACAAAAACATTTGCTATTTATTTGTAATAAAAGGTTTTATGTTGTATTGAGGAATCTCTTCCTTCCAGTATTTCATCATTTCTTCCCTCCTGTAATGCTGAAGGGAGCATATTTTAATGAGAAAAAAACTGGAACCAGAGTCAGATGACATTGGCCCTAGTTACACCCTTGCTGGCTCAATACTAATGCCGTAGCCGTGGACAAGCTTCCAAGCCCCTTGAAGCCTGTGCTTCCCATCTATTAAATGGGCACAGAAATAACTGTCTTGCAACATCACAGGGTTGTTAGAATTCAAATATTATCAAGTTTCCAAAGCAATTTCATAGCACAACACAAACAGAAGGCGTCGGAATAATCCTGCCTCTCTCCTGTCACAAATTTTTCCCTTCGAGTCTGCCAATAATTCCTTTTCTCATATTTCTTCCATCATTCTTCTGCCAGGAGAACTGAAACTCAAGTGGCCCCCCTGTCAAATGGCGTTGGTGTGGAAGGGGATGGGGTAAATGGTTGTTGCAGTGCTTCACCCTACCCTCGTTGCTCACCTCACAGTCACAATCTGGCCTCCATCCAGGACAACGCCGTTCATTTGGGCAATAAAGATGGCGGCCACGGCTTCATAGAGGGCTGTACCATCCATGTTAATGGTTGCTCCGACCGGGAGGACAAATCTGGTCACGCGTTTATCAATCCCCAGATTCTCTTCCAGGCAACGGAAGGTGACAGGCAAAGTTCCCGCACTAAGAGAGAGAGAGGGAGAGAGAGAGAGAGATTGAGAGGGAGAGAGAGAGATTGAGAGGGAGAGAGAGAGAGAGATTGAGAGGGAGGAAGAGAGAAGAGTTAGGTTCACTGTAGAGAAGCATAAAGTAAAATGCCACCACAAAGCTTTTGTTCTTTTGTCCAATCAAGCAATATGACATGCAAAAAAAAAGAGTGTCTGGAGCCAAATTAAAAACCAGCAATTTGGAGGCTCGAATTCAATCTTATTAAGATGCTAATAGGCAGCAAAATATATTTATTGGTTCTGGTTTTTGAGATCTACTCAGAGCTTCGGGCTCTCTTCTTCCTTTGGTCACTGTTTCCATCTTGGATTAAAACTGAAGCCCATCTAACTGCCCACATTAATTGGGGCTGCAAGAAAAAAATGTGTCAGAACAGAATCAGCTATCCACAGTGAAATGGAATGAAGAATTTTTGAATGACCCACAATTTCATGCTAGAAATGCTGTTTCTAACTAAATGACTACTTGGGTTGCATCTAGCCCCCGGGAATTGCCTTAAGCTGGGCCTGCTAATTTTGAGAATGTTGAACAAACATGTTAAACACCATTCAGCCTGAACCCGAGTTTCTAGCAATTCACTGGGGGCCCTAACAGACAGTCTAACTTCCTGGTAAATGGCCAACTCTACAGTCTCTCCACTGACATAAAGCAGAAAAGCATGTGATTTCTAGCTAATCAAAGACCTAGTATGAAGTGACTTCACCTCCACTCCTCCCAGGCGTGGGCTGGGAATTCATGACTACATGACTCAGTCTCAAATATCAGAACTCTTGTCATGTTCATGTGTCGGTAAGGACAAGGATTACTGAAGGCCAGAATATTACTTCCATGTGGGTAGAGGTGCATAGGAGCGTAGGTGAATTGGCTTCAAGGTTTAAGTAAGGAAAGTCATGCTGAACACTCAAACTGCCATGAGAGTGTTTTGTGGTCTATTCTCTCTCTCTCTCTCTCTCTCTCTCTCTCTCTCTCTCTTTCTCTCTCGCTCTCTCGCTCTCGCTCTCGCTCTCTCTTTTCCTATTCAAACCTCTAAAGCAGAAAGCACTTTTTTCTCTCTTGCATTTACAACTTTAGTCATAGTTCTTTCTTCTACTAGTCAGGATCAGGGCTTCAGCTGAGCTGGACACAGACACCTGCAGAGGTCTCAATTGCTCAGACAGTGGGAGAGGACCATTGGCTTCAGAGAAGCTAAATGAAATGCAGATTCCAGGGCCTACTAAGAACCAAGGGATTGGAAACTCTAAAATTTGAGTCACTTAAATCTGTATTTTATCAAACCACTGACCAGGAAGCTCCTAACACAACTGTAGGGAAGCTAGAGTCATTTTGCAAAATATTCTTTGTGATTTCATGTTAGGGGGTCTATCTCACCCTCCTCCTTGGCCTTAGGTAGGAAGAAAAAAATGAATGTTTAGAGACCTCTCATTACTCAAACCTTATAAATGCAGGGAGATAAGTTGGGGGTCTGGCCTCATTTGCATGTGGAGATGGCATCATACCTGGCTTGCTGCCCAGTTTTTCTAATGAGAAATTAGCGTCCCTTTACTTCTCTCACCCCTACGCCTTCCCCACCCCGCCTTTTCCTAGGACTCCCTTTGAAGGGTTGCCAAGACATCATGACCGATCTGAAATGGCTGCTTGACTATGGTTGTTGGCCAGGGTTATCAGTGATATCGCTCTAAGGACATCTCTGAGAGGACTAGAATACGTTCATTTTTATTAATGCATCCATTTTTCTAAAATATCGTCAAAGGGGTCTTTAGACAATTAAGATTGGGGAAAATAACCGATCAGGCCTGAGAATATTCTCAATTTCTATACTGAACGTACTTTATGTCTTAAAAATCCACATACACCCAACCAATTCCAACTGGGACTTGAACATTTTAACTCTTTCCTGTCTTTCCCACATTCTGACATTGTTTGTTTGTTTATTTGTTTGTTTTTTGGCTCCTGCCTCAATGGCCATATGATAGACTTCAAATGTTGGTAAGAATAACTGTTAGATACTTGAGAGTCTTTTTTTCCTTCCTGATTAATGTTAACATCATGTACTGAAGTGGGAGGGAGGCAGAGAGGTGTGTCCCAGGCCATTCCCCTTCCATCTGCCTCCTTCACACCAGCTCCATACCCATTGAGAAAGGGAGGTCAACCCTTCTTCACATCTCCATTCAGTCCAAGGTCCAAGGAGGTGGAGAGGATGTTTATCTCGCTGTTCTGGGCCTTTGTGTTTTTTCCCTCCAGTTATGTTGACAAAGTTAATTCTTAGCATGGCGACTCCTGCCAAATGGACTTTTTTCTTGTTTTTTTTTTTTAAAGAAATCCCACATCCACAGTTTAACTGAAGATTAAAACTGCTTTTTTTTCTTTTTTTTTTCAAATGAAATACAGGGTAAAGAAGAGAAATGGGTCTCCTCTTTACCCTGTATTTGTGTCTTTGGCCTAATAATGCAAGCATTTGTCTGATTTAAATACAAATTTAGGCCATCCATAAGTCTTTAAGATTTACCTTGTCTTATAAAGGTATCGGGATAATTGTCTACTCATTCAAAGAAAAGAAAACAATCATATTTTTTAAAAAATTTAAAGATCAATCATAAAGGTATTAGAAGAAAATATAATGTTTTATCATCTTTTATGGAGATGTTCTTGAGGAAAATCGAAATTCTAAATACTAAAGGAAAATATTGATAGCTTCTACAATGTACAAATTAAATTTTTTTTTTGGCAAAAAGTATTGTAAATTTTTTAAAAAAGTGTCAAGTAGAGAGAGACAACAGCATTTATAACATGGGACACATTAGTTAATATTGTGATACATGAAGAGAGTTGAAAACCAATCAGGAAAGGGTGAATATCCCAACAGGAAATTAAGATCAAAAACAATTCACAGAGTGGGGAAAGAGAGGGCGGGATGGTCAATAAGAAGACAAAAAGATGCTTTCCCTCACTTGTAATCAAAGAAATGCACGTTTGATAAGATCATTTTTCACTAATAAGACTGGAAAGTATTAAAGTGACTGACAATAAATAGCCAGTGCTGGTGAGCACGTGGTGTAAGGCATATCTTACACCCATGTAGTGGGGACTTAAATTTGATAAGATCATTTTTCACTAATAAGACTGGAACGTATTAAAGTGACTGACAATAAATAGCTAGTGCTGGTGGTGAGCACGTGGTATAAGGCATATCTTACACCCATGTAGTGGGGACTTAAACTAATGTACTTTCCTAAATAGCAATCTGGTGATGTTTTAACACCATCAATGTGTATACCATTGGATTCACACATTCCACTTCTAGAAATTTATCCTTAGGGATCACCCGACAAACTTGCAGAGGTGTATTTACAAGAACACTTATCACAGTTCTGTTTCATAGACATGCCACAGTGGGGCTGGGGGTTGCAATGTAGCACATACACTGTACTATAACGCAGTTTTAAAAGTAGTAGAGAGATCTATATTGACAGATATAACTTTTATGATATGTTGACTAGTGAAAAACAACATTTATTATTATCTGTATATAGTAAGAACTGGAAAGATATATAATTGAAGATTAAATAAAAGGTTACTACCAGTTATCACTAGATAATGGAATAATGAGTGATGTTCGTTTTCTTCTTCAAAACTTTATTCACTGTCTAAATTTTTTCACAATGAGCAAAAACCATGCTCATAACCAGAGAACAAAAATAAAACTAAACATAATTGTTTTTATGTTCAGAGAAAAAAAAAGATTTACTTTTTCTCCAAAGAGAGAGGATTTTATGGCGAGAGCTACTTAGCCATACGAAATTTCTAGGCCCCAAAAAGACAAAGAATTTTGGAGAGATTCCCTTGGGAAACTGAATGGAGAATCTAGATCGGTAGGAGTGTATATATTTCAGATTTTTCTAAAACCCCACATTCTACCAGTACCAAATTCTCATTGATTGGCCACACAGAAATATAATTTGCCTTCCCAGGAAATCACCACTATTTGCCTTTTAGATCACTTAAGAAAAATCTAACAGTCTGCTTTGTAGCTTTGCAACAGCAGTCACCCTGTGTCACAGAGTGGTCACCTTTCTGGCAGTGTATGGTCTAGGGCTCTATAATAAGGATCTGCAAGCTGTGACTCCAGACGTGATATTGTGCTATGTGGGTTTTCTCACTTCCCTGCCACCTGCTTTATGACCTCAGTCTTAGTTTGTGACTTCAGGGTACATGTGCAGAAACACAAACCCCTACTACGGGGCTGAAAGAATAAAACTCTTTTAGTCTTTGAAATTCTAAACTGCCAGGCCTTTCTTATGTATTTGTTTTTGTTTGTTTGTTTTTGTTTGTTTGTTTTTGCTAAATTTAGTTCAGAGTGATATCAAAAAATTTTTTTTCTCTGCCTATCTCCGGAGTCCTTGTTGGCTTCTGGGGCACCAGACCTAGGTGATGAAGGAGGAACTGACTCTCAATGTTAAGTCAAATCAACGGCAGCCTGATTTTCTTAAAATCAGTGGGGCAGAATGATCTCGTCGATATTCACGAATAGGTCAAAGATTTGTCTAACTCCTGGTTTGCTTGAAAACCGTTTACCCCGTAAAAGCTCATCCTCTCACTTTTGAAAAATTACTCCAATAGAGTGGTATTCTGTGACAGCATTTTTCTAATCACAGGTATAAGAATTTCTTAAAAAGGGTAACATCCTGCTATACCCTTTCAGAAAACATTTAAAACTAAACCAGACTAATGTGGTATGTGGCAAATTAGGCATGTAAATTATGAGCATATATATATCCTGGAAATTGAATGTGAGATCATATTTCAAACACAGTTGCATACCAACAAATATGTTCATCAGAAATATCAAAAGTTTCTAGAAGGAGCCAAAAATACAAAGGGTTCACCTTTTTCACAAGTATTTTCATAGTATGTGAAAAGAGTTCTCACTGAGCTTTGCAGTGGGAAGGCCTTGAAAAGGAAGAAGTGGCAAAGAGGGTAAAAGACTGAGCAAAGAGAAAGGTGATTTTTTTGTGTTCTCTACCTGGAAGCGGTACCCAGGGCAGTGATCCAAGCTTGAAAAATGCCAGCAAAAAAAGAGAAAGGGTTTTTCCTTGTCACTAGAAAGTAAATCAAGGGGAGAAAAATGCCCCCGTGGATGATGAGGCCCACAATTACTGTGACCATGTACATCCCCAGTTGCCGAGCAACCACTTCTAAGTCCTTGATTGCAATGATCTTCCCACAGATAAGGCAGGCAATACCCAGGGGAGAGTACCTGAAAAACAGAAAAGAAAGAAAGAAAAAAAAAATACCAAAGAAATCATTATGAGATTCAGAACTTAAATCTAGGCCCTCTTATGTTACTGCATCCTGCTGA